AGTTTCATGTATGCAAGCGCCCTATCTCTGAACCTCATCCCCAACTCCATTTATTTCTCCTCACATGTACAGTCTCTGTGTTTTTAGCCTGTGTATCTCCTAGTAGAATACATGCCTGATCCGAGCAGATTCAAACACATTTACTATTCTAAGCTATCTGGACATTCATGAGTCTACACTAAGAGAGTATACGATTGTAGTCTTACCTAGCATTGCAGTTATTAGTAAGGTTAGGTTGGAGTGGAGAGAAAACTGACTTGATTGTAGGACCCCTGAGTACCAAGAACATTTCAGAGATGGAATGCAGAAGGAAAGTAGGTGTGCATGTGTGTGCGCACGTGAGTGTGTGTGTAACATTCACTTCATGGGAGACAGTTGTGGAGAGTGATCACTTTTATAGATCAATTCAGAATTACTTTTTGTCTAGCCTTAAATGTTTTGCCACCCAAAGGTCTCTTTAAAAAGTCACATAGATCTACTATTTCTCTGCTTCCCTGAGAGAATGGTAATAATTACGCCTAACATTGTTTACATTTATGAAAGTCAAACACCATTTTAATCACTGTTCACATATGAACTCATGTGTTCCTTTCAATAACTCTGTGAACACAGCACTGTGGTAATTCACTGTTACAGATGAGGAAACTGAGGCACAGATGGTGAAATGATATGCCCGGGGTCACATAGCTAGAGAGGTAGCTGACAGAGCCCATGCCCCTCACCACTCCACCAGACTGACCCTGAAGACCCAATCCTCCTGAAAGCAAGTGAGCGTCTCTTTGTTGAAGCAGGCAAAGCTGTTCATCAGCTCGTCAGACAGAGGGGTCAGGCTGTCCTGCCAGGGGAATGAATGCCCTGGAGAAATTGTCCTGACCGGGAACAAACCTGGAAGGAATTTTCTTTTCAAGGAAAGAGATACTTGATTGGATCTTTGCCTTTTCACCCTCTTTATATCACTGGCAACCTGATCAAAGTCAAGGCCATCTGAAAATCGAATTAATATTCTGTTTACCCCTCTTTTCAGGTCATTTAATGAGAACTCTGGGCTCAACTCTCAAGTTCTCATTGAACCTCCCTGACCAGAGTCCAGTAGGTTGGCACTATTGGTGACATTTTGATCAGCATTACATGTGCCAAATTGAATGACTTACAGCAATGCCCATGCTTAATACTTTTCTGATGTCAATACACTTACTACATGCCATGCCCTTTTTTCTTATTCACATTTTCTGCTAATTTCTTCTATCTGCTCTTTATTTCCCCCAATACTTTTAGTATATCATTGTATTGGTGAAAAAAAAATGTTACTTGTAATAAATCTAGAATGCAGCCCCTCCTGAAAAGTTCACCTGAAAGAAAGTAACCAAAGCGAATGAATGCTGAGTTACTTCTCCTGGTATAATTCCATGGCATATTTGTAAACTCAGAGGTGTGAATTGCTGTTATTCTAAAATGAAATCTGTTCAGCAGTGTCTTGATTTGTGGGTTTAGAACTGTGGAAAAATGTTTAAATCTATTGACTAGAGTATCAAACTGCCCAGATTTGCATCCTTGGCTTACTCCAGAACTGTGTGGCACTGGGCAAATTACTTAACAACTCTCAGTCTCAATTTCCTTAGCAACAGAGTGAAGATAATATCTCTGTGAGTGTTTCAAGGATTGTTTGAACTAGTGCATATAAAACAATTTCTGGATTCCAGAAGAGTGTGAATGATAAGTATTGTGTGTGGAGTTTGTCAGTGATGCTTTTCCTTTGTGAAATGAGCTTTCTTTGCCACTAAAAGCTATGGAACTATTTTCTTCATAACAGTTATTATTTTCATCTTCTCTGATAGGCCGAAGTTGGGAATTCAGTATGGTGGACTCTCAGTTCTTTCTGTATTGCTTTTATTGCATGGTCAAAAGAGGCAGCCCCTGGTGGGGGTGGATTGGTTGAGATGTGTTTAGGCCTGTTTATATCATGATCAGTTGACATACAAACTCAAAATAAGAGTTTTCCAATATTTTGCTTTGCTTTTAAGAGTCAAATAAATAGTCATTCAAAAGCAAGATTTTCCCCATGCTATTTTGAAATTTCTGTTTTACTTAGTGGGAGCTGTTTTATTTGTGGGTAAACATAGGAAGGCTGAGGACAGCCCTGCTGGTGTGTAGGTGCTCCACGGTGTAGGGCAGCAGCTAGCTTGTCCTTCTCCGAGCCCAAGAGTGCACAGTGCCATCTGCTGGCAGCTCTGAGAAAAACTACACTGTCATGATTCTTTTCCAGTAACATTCTCCGTGATTTTAAGTTGAATTCTTCACTTGGTTGAGATGTAAGGCAGTGGTTCTCAAACTTTTTTACTGCTGCGGCCCTTCAATACAGTTCCTCATATGGTGCTGCCCACTATCCATAAAGTTAGTTTCGTTGCTACTTCCCAACTGTACTCTTACTACTGTTAGGAATTGTAATGTAAATTACTGTTTTTTCCAGTGGTCTTGGCTGACGCCTGTGAAAGCCATTCAGTCCTAAAGGGGTCGCGACCCCCGTGTTGAGAACCATTGCTCTGAAGTTTTCCACTGTGGCTCCTTTCTATAGCAGTCATGACTATGTCTCCTACCCCCACCATTGCCTCTTTCCCAGAAATTAGCCCGCTTTTTCTTCTGTACTTCATCACTTTTGCTTCATTGTTAGCATTACTTTTGCCCTTTGCAAAGATCAAAGACATTTACACCTCATCTCCATCCACCTAAGCATGTTCTCCCTTTGTGCGAGAAGCCATGCCTCTAAGGGGGAACAGCCGCCTCACAAGAAATCTTTTGGAGTGTCTGTGAGTCTCTGGATGTGAATATCAGTGACATACCCGGTTATAGATTTGTATTTTATTGGAACTGTAACATTAGAAATGTTTTTACTGGATAATTAATCTACATGAGGAGGCAGTGTGTAGTGTGGTGTAACAGAAGAATCAGCCGGTGACAGAATAGGCCAGAGATATCAGAGCTTCTGTCTAGTATGTAACTTGACTTTCTTTGTTAGATCGGAAATGACCCATTTGATAGAGATGGGGTTTCAGTTTTATTTTCTGTAGACATGGTGCGCAAATTTAGCATTTCTTCCCTACCACAGCTTCTATCTAAGCCTTTGTGAAATTTTCTTCCCACTTCCGTTAATAAGATGCCCTTTAAAGACCCTTCTCTCATTTTTGGTCTGAAGTTTGAGCAGTTTGGCAGAATGGGTTCTTTTCACAAGACTATGAGATAGTATTCTTTTTATATTGCTCACTTGATTGGAGCTCAGAGAAATGAAGAATTGCTAGGCCTCAGGGATTGAGCAATGATGAGCTGAGACAATTAATACTTAGCATCTTTAATCACTACATCCCCCCAGTCATTCTTTATATGACACATTTTTCTGGGCTCTTTACTGTCTGTCAATACCGTTGTTTGTTGACCACCGCTCTTGTATGTCAGTCCACAGTGAGTTTATACTTCGGGTGTCCTTTAGCCTAGAGTGAGTCAACCTGGCTTTGAATCACCTACCTATAATCTGTGAAATGCGAGGATTCATCATTGTTTCTGTCTGCATCTTAGCTTATATTCTACAACTGTCCAGCTGGATCTTTCTTATCTATGCATATGCATATATGTGTTACTTATATGTATATACATGTTTACAAATATATGAATAGATACACACATTCTTCCACGTAAAGTGATCATGAAGCGTTCTCATTCAGTCGTGCTTTGCCTTATTTAGCATGTTCTGGCTTAGACTGACCTTTCACATCCGTCTTTAGTAGCTTTGGAAATGCTATGTACAGTTTGGGGTACGTGGCATGCCATCTATCAGTCTTCATTTAAGGTCTATAGTGTTGAAGTTGCAGTCACGCTAGAATCCTAAGACTTCTAAATAGAGATTTCTCGGCCTGTTTCTTGGTTAGTGTAGCAAGTCAGAGTTTCCTGGTGGCTGAGTTTCGTCCTATGATGGCTGTGTTTTCTGTATTTTCAGCCATCTCTTCTACGGCATTGTACTTTTCTCTGCCTGCTGGCCAAACCTCCTGGACCTCAAGTGGAACTGTGGTTAGCTTTCATCCCTCTGGGTTTCTGCTAGAAGCCTGGGCCCTTGTTCTGGGGAAGAGCTAGTAACTGGAACCTAGCCTAGTAACCCTGCCTCTGTCATTCCTGCTCGTATTTGCCAAGTTGGACAGACTTGCTTTGCACTCACTTTGCAGTAGCTTAATCAGAAGATATAATTACAGTGCCCTCTGGATTCCTGTCTGCCAGTGACTCACAGTGGTTTAGCTGGCCGCTTAAGGTCTTAGGCTTCATCTGCCTCCTCTACATAAAGCAGTTGTGTTTTACACTTGGAAAAAGGCTAGGCTAACTTAAAAAATGAAATAAGGAGATGAATCCAGGACTGATGTCTCTGATATGCACTTGTGCTGTCTCCTTAATAATTTATATTCTGAAGGACAGCTATCCTACAATAATTCTAAGCAATCCCTGCCCCAGCTGTTCTATCCTGGGAGGCAGTGGGAAAGCCGCCTACTTGCTGACCCACAGATAGATCACCACAGCTTCTACACAGAAATCGCTAACTCAAGATAGTACATTTCCTACTCACTTGGACATGCCTGCTACTGTCTGTCTTCTTCCCGTGTGGTGTGGCCACCCATGGGAGGGCAGAAAATCATTAGAGTCATATTCTTGTATTTGCAGGTAAGTGTTGTGTATAGACACATGTGCACATACACCCACAATTTATTTAATAAACTTCTTCACATGTCTTTGTTCATTTTTATCTGTAGTTTACAAAAATCAGTAATCCGTGTACCTAAGAATTGCTCCAAAACAAAAGATAAATTACTTCATCTTGGAGATCGGCTTAAACTAAGTTTAAAAGCAATGTGAGTTGACCAATCTGACTAGAGTAGCGATCACCATGGCTGATCTTTTGAATGTTACATTGTCCCTTGAAATCCTCTGCTTGCCTTTATTGTAGCAACCGTCTGCTTTGTCTCCAGGTAAATGAAATCTACCACGATGAGTCCCTCGGAGTGCATATAAATGTGGTCCTCGTGCGAATGATTATGCTTGGTTATGCAAAGGTAAGCTATCTTAAAATATGTGGGATCTGAGCATTAGAGACTGGCTTATCCAGGAGAAAAATTGAGTTGCAAAACTACCCTTAATCTCATATAAACTCACAATTTTACCAAGCTAGGAAGAAGACTTTTCTAGAACGAGAAGGGATTTCTATATCAAAGAAACTTTTTGTTAGAGACAGGTCTCATATAGTCCAGGTTGGCTTCAAACTCCCTATTGAAGTCAAGGATAGCCTTGAACTCCTGAGCCTAAGTGTTGGGACTAGAGGCATGCCCTAATGTTCAGTGTAGACTGTGCTGGGATTGAACCAAGAATCGCTTGCACACTAGACCAGCACTCTACCAACTGAGCTAGACCCGACTCCCAGTTATCACAATTTTAGGTGTGACTGAATGAGGAAGGGAACATGAATGGATGCCTTTAAGAGATCCTTAGCTGATTTCCCTCCAGCTCATGACCGCCTATCCACTCCCTGTGTCTATGCGTAGCATCCATTGATATGACAGTTACACTCAGGACTTGGAATACACCAGTGATTTATTTCAAACAATGTTTCAAATGGATATATTTAAAAATGGAGCACTCTGAATATTTTTTTTTCAGTTAAAGAAGCTTTAATTCTTTTGCAAACTGAAAGTTGGATTGAAATCTATACAGTAGCCATTCTTGCCATGTGGTTAAAAACCTACGTACATTGATACTAGATGTGTCTGCGTCCTTGGAATTAAATTTCTTTGAGGAGCCTGAAGAACTTGGCCATTTTTATGTTTAAAACAGTGACTCCCTCCCGTAGTTAATCCCTCAGTCAGAAAATGCTAGTGAACTTTTGCATCTGGGAGCCATAAGCGTCCGTGTATTTGCATTTTTCATGTGTCTATCATCCTCATATCCTCATCTAAAGCTACATCGCCCCTGATATTTACCGTCTCTTAAAACTTACCATACTTTGTGTTGCTGCAGAGCAGCAAGCGAAGCCCAGCTAGAAGTCTTAACAGCCTTCAGCTGGTTATTAAATCATTTGTTTGGCGTACTGTATGAGTAGCATATAACAGACCAAGCTAAGTTTATTAAGAATGTAAACACTGATAATATTTGCTGAAATTTAACAAAATGCTGGGCCCTTTAGCCAATTAGGGAAGTCATTTGGGATTCCAAATTCAATTTCTCTTTCTCTTAAAAATACTCTGGAAAGGAGAAATCTTGTGTTCTTAAAGGACAGGCTCTTTTACCCCTCAACTTTTTAACCCCTGACCACAATGTGAACTTAACATATGTATACCCACAGCAGCTATCAGACAAGAGGCCAAACCCTGTCGGTTCATGAGGCTAAAGCCTATTTTCCCCATGGTGAAGCTGATTTAATTTGACTGTACCCCGTACACTAAAGTTTGACCAGTTTTGCCAAATCTTGAAATAACTTATTTTCCTCCCACATACTGATGTTTATTTCTGGACCAAGAGAATACACAAAATTCTTAACTAAGAACTTTGACTTTCCTATCTCTGGAAAGAGTTTCTATGCAAGAATCTTTCCCAGTATTTTTGCTTTAATGTGTGAAATCTAAAATCTGAACAGAATCAATAAATATCTTAGATGTCTAAAATTCTCCCCCAAATGATTAATGCTGAGTGACTTCAGCATGGTGAACCCTGACTCAAACGTTGCTATGCATGTGTCTGTGGACTCTCACACAGGTAGCATAGAACCTCCCCACAGGGTCTTTGTGAGCTTTAGAATTCTCGAATCAAATTTGTATCCCCAAATATTCCTGAATCCTTGTTTAAATATTATCCCCAAGTCCAAGTCACAAAAAGTGTTTACCATATTCTTTCCTTTTAGTCTATCAGCCTCATAGAAAGGGGGAACCCGTCCAGGAGCCTGGAGAATGTGTGCCGCTGGGCTTGCCAACAACAAAAACCTGATCCCAACCATGCTGAACACCACGATCATGCCATTTTCTTAACCAGGCAAGACTTTGGGCCTGCTGGAATGCAAGGTATTACTGTTGCTATGTAGAAGAAAAAAAATAAGAGCCTGGGTTTTCAAAAAGAAATCCCAAGTCAGGCAAGTTGTATAGATGTTCATATTCCCCCACCACTTTCCGCCATTCAGCAGCCAAGCGTACATTTTTCTCTCTGTTTCTGCCAGTGGCTTTTTGTAGAATCCACAACGTTAAATGCCACTTAAACACCATAATAAATGATACTTGCCCTTAAAATAATGATTGCCCGTTTGGGGTATGGAAGAGATGCTATAACATTCAGTGTGATTTCCGCTAACTTCGGAATGAGAATGGCTCCTGCCAGCAAGCAATCTTTTTTCCAAAGTCAGCTTACATTTATCTAATAAACACTGGTGTAGGCTGTGGAGAAGGACTGATCCCTTTCTGTTCTACACTGGTGGGATTTCTGGCTCCATCCATGAGAACCAAGATGCAAAGGGCCATTGACTCAGAAAGACAAGGCCAAGATGGAAAGAACAGAATGGGAGCCCCAGGCGGTCCCTTCCCTCTTTCCCAAGAGGATGTGGCTTACTGATAACAGAGAAATAATGCTGCCACTGTTGGCAGGAACACTGCCTTTTCCCCCCTAAGCAAAGCCCCAGTACTAATTACAATGAGTTTTATATGTAAAATGGAAATAAAAGTGATTATCATTGCCTGCAGGATACGCTCCAGTCACAGGCATGTGCCACCCAGTGAGAAGTTGCACTCTGAATCATGAAGATGGGTTTTCATCTGCTTTTGTAGTAGCCCATGAAACCGGCCATGTGTAAGTTACTGCTGACAGCTATATAAGAAAACAAAGTTTTTTCTTTACTTTTCCTCTGTTGTTCATACTTTAAGCAACGATGCCTGCCAGTGTGAGTTCTCATCCTTTGCCAAGAGTGAGGAGCTGAAACCCTGAAGGGTCCTGTGCAGAAACTCAATGAGTGGCTGGCCGGTCAACAATCCCATCCCTTTTATGGCTATAGAATGAGAAAGGCATTTCATTAGTCTGCTCTCACTTTTAACATCCGTGGTGTCTCCAGGGAAGCCATGTGGACTTTAGAAAGCATGTCTTTCCCAGTATGTCTTGTGCAGAAAGGACGGAAGTCCGAGCCACGGTCCTGCCGTGATTACCCATGCGGTCTCCTTTGTGTTCTAGGTTGGGAATGGAGCATGACGGGCAAGGCAACAGGTGTGGGGACGAGACGGCCATGGGCAGCGTCATGGCGCCCCTGGTGCAAGCTGCCTTCCATCGCTACCACTGGTCCAGATGCAGTGGCCAGGAGTTGAAGAGATACATCCAGTATGTGCCTCGCTGCATGTCATGCCCTGCTGCATAGGCTACACACATGACATCAGAGGTGTTGACCCACAAGTTTCTATAATGTCATATGATGGTATAAACCCTGAACTTAAGTATAGTCCTGTCTGAGATGGGGTTTCCCTGGGGTAGGTTCCTAGTGACTGATGGTCAGGCTTGAGCTGAGGATGGAGAACAGGGTGCTTGTACGGTGTCTGCTTTTAACCCTGTTCATACCCTGAAGTCCTACTGTGCAGATGTTGGGGTCTGCCCTGCCACCATTCACATAGGTTCACTGAGTCACATGAAAACAGCTGCCACAGGTTTCCTATATCCCAGAGTTGTGCTTGATTTACCTTCTGGAACTAGTAAAGATGAAAGACAAGTTGACTAAAACCAAAAACCGTAGAACCATGTTTCTGGGAACCTGCTGCACGAGCTGACAGAACCCCAGAGTATTTGAGCTAAGAGACTTTTTTCCCCTTTAAGGCCTGATTTCAACAATGAGAACTTAAAAATGTACTGAATGTTTTGTCCCTGCAGCTCCTACGACTGTCTCCTTGATGACCCCTTTGAACACGACTGGCCCAAACTCCCAGAACTTCCTGGAATAAATTATTCCATGGATGAGCAATGCCGTTTCGATTTTGGTGTTGGTTACAAAATGTGCACTGCGGTATGTGACCTCTGTCAAATGAGGTGGCTTATCTTCAAATCTGTGTGTAGCTCCTTTGGGGTGGGCTTTGCAAACTCATTGGTACAAGTGTGAAAATATCTACAGTTATCTTGTATTTGCTCTGATGATTTAGCTAACCTAGATTCCTTGGGCATACAGCCTTAATTAATCCTCATGAGAGAAGAGATAGGGAGACTATTTTTTACTTTTTGATATTATAATTACATCATTGCCTCCTCCCCTTTTCTCCATCCGAAGCCTCCCAAATATGTCTTCATGCTCTTTTTTCAAGTTTATAGCTTTCTAAATCAAAAGCTCTTGTTAGATATATACCTGTATGTGTGTGTGCACAGAACAGACACACACACACATTGCAGAAGTAGGGGCAGAAAGATTGAAAGGCTTTTATTTTTAGAAAGAAAAAGCCAAGGTTGCTGGGGTTCTAAACCTGCTGAAGCTTTCTATTGACACCTGGTAAACAGGAAGCTAGCTGAACTGACCGAGGCTAGCCTTGTGTCCCATTCCTCCTCTGGTTTTCCTTTCCTTCAGAGGTGGCATTGAGATCTCCTATGGCCAGGATTCTGTACGTTTGCGGCTCTAGGAAGTGGCTGTGGAACGTGAAAGTGTGTGGTGGTACATGCCTGGAATCCCAGCACTCAGAGGCTGAGGTGGGAGGATCATGAAATTGAAGCCAGGTCCAGCTACTTAGTGTAGTCAAGACCAGCCTGGGCTATAAAATGAAACTCTGCTTTGGGTGGTTTTACTGTCTAGGAGTTAGACACCGTGATATGGATGTCAGATGGAGCAGGTCAGATCTGACACTAAAACCATAAACTTGAGTACCACATGTGACATCTCGGGTTTAGTTTTTCTTGTAGCTGAAGTCTGGATAATGATAGTGTTTACATCTAACAGCTTAGGTGAGGGTCAAATGTGCTGAAGTGGCTCGTACACTTAGCCCAGTGAGGCTGTCACACTGTCAGTGATGCCCCAGCACTCGACCACGGTGTTTAGGAGGAAAGTACGTGCGGGATATGGCTGGCAAATGACCCACTCTCTGAAAGTTCTCTGCTGGCATGCTTCTTTCTCTTCCAGTTCCGAACCTTCGACCCATGCAAACAGCTGTGGTGCAGCCATCCCGACAACCCCTACTTCTGCAAGACTAAGAAGGGGCCCCCACTCGACGGAACCGAGTGTGCTGCTGGGAAGGTGAGTGTGTCTGCTTGTGACTACGCTTCATCGTGCGCTGCATGGGGACCTTCCAAAGCTCAGTGAACGATGCCTACTGCTGGACGGTTGCCCTTCTGTGGCTGCTACCACCAACGGCCACAAAGCTGATGGTTCGAAACACTGGAAGTCGGTTCTGTAATAGCCGTGGAGGACAAGAGTGAGTTATACTGAGGCGAAGCCCAATGTGGACAGGGTTGTGCTCACACCAGACACTGTAGTGGCACTTGGTTCCTTCCCTTTCCCAGCTCCTGGCTACCTTTCCACACCATGGCCACACTCCTCTGACCTCTAACACAGTGGTGGTGTTCTTGCACGGACTGAGTCTTTTCGTGATGTTTTGATCCTACCTGGATACCTCAGGATCATCTCCTGAACTTGAAATCTTTAAACTTAATCATGCTTGCAAAGAATCTTTTACTAAATAAGGTCACCTTCACCGGCCCAGACATTAGGGACTTTTAATACTGGGAGGACCAGACCATTTGGATAAGTGTGGCCAAGGGGACAGACAGTAGGGACAGCAGATCTCTGGCCCCTGCTAGTGGTGTCTGATTTACTTGCTGGCATGGCAGCCCTTGTGAAAGTTGCCCAGAAATCAAGGCATGTGAATTTATACAGAAGATTTGGCCTCACTCCTGGGGGAAGGATGCCCGAAGGTTTTAAATCTCAGCCCTTGTAGTTGGTACTGAATGCTTAGAAACTGGCTGGGTGCCAAGGTGTGCTTCTCTTAAGGGCAGCGAGCCCAAAACAAAGGCATGCTAAGAACGCAGCTTGAAGAGCCTTGCCTAGGCTGGAAGTAATATATTGTAGATAGGACCAAATGCTGACAGGAAAGATTAATGCAACTTTTACCTTTTGAAAAGGTTGATTTCGAACATGCATAAACTGATCTTACAGGAAATATGCATACAAGTAAAAACCTGGCATGACAAGCACTTAGATTTTGTCTGGCACCGAGACAGCTACACTATATATAGAGTCTTGCTTTGGGAAGAGGTAGCAAACAAATTTTCAACTAAAATTAAGAGCAATAGTGAGTAGAATTATTTTGGTTTATTAAAAAGTTAAGGTATAGTAGATTTTAACATCCAACTTCCCTAATACAATTGGATAATATTATATTTAAATGTATAAAGAAAGGTTTTTAAAAAACTTTTTTGTCTATAGTATACAAAATGCAATTGAAAGTTTTGGAAAGAAAATACTCTATTCCCTTTGAATGCTTACATGCTAAATGCTAAGGACTGTTATCATGGAATCTTTGAGGCATCATGGCAGTAATAACCCCACTTAGTTCTTGGATACATGTTGCTACCTAAACAATTCATGAATTTTTACATACCTCTATTTTGGTTACCTAAAAGGTAAACATCATTATTTAACTTACCTATTTCTTCAATCTATAAATTAATATTTTATAAAGTTAAATGTACTTTGAAAGCTGAATATAGTTTTGACTAACTTTAGTTAGTTCTTTTTTAAGCGGAGGCACAGTTGCAGGCCATTGTTTTGAAAGGGGTCATGTTAGCATCCAGAAACTGAGGGTCAGCTAAGCAGGGAGAAGTGAAGCAGAGAGAGGATGAGGTCTGCTGGCTGGGCTGGACAGTCATGTGTCCTCTCAAAACTTACCCGAGTAAATGTTATTTTCCTTTTTTAAAAGAAGATTTATTAATGTATATGTATCTGAGTCTGTATATGGCATGTATTTATGTATATGTGAGTGAATGCCCAGTGTCTGTATGGTACCGACAGAGGCCAGTAAAGGGCATCTGATCCCCTGGACTTGGAACTACAGGTGGTTGTGAGCCACCCGATGTGGACTCTGGGAACAGATCTCAGATCATCTGCGAGAGAGCAGTGAACGCTCTTAACCAATGGGCCCTCTCTCCAGTCCCAAATGTATCGCTTTAATCTTATTCTAAAAACTGTGAATTTAAGTTATCCTTCTGGTAGGCTACCTTTGTGCAGCAAATGCCTGTGTGTACTTTAAATCAGATTTAACTGGAGGGAGAACAGAGAGTTGAAGACCTTCAAATGAGTGTCTCTTGAATAGCACTTTCGGTGGCCTTCATAATTGTCATTTTTGTTTCCCCAAGTGGTGCTATAAAGGGCACTGCATGTGGAAGAATGCCAATCAACAAAAGCAAGATGGCAACTGGGGGTCGTGGACCAAGTTTGGCTCCTGCTCCAGGACGTGTGGAACTGGTGTACGGTTTAGAACACGCCAGTGCAATAACCCCACGTGAGTATAACCCTGCACTTCCTGTTGCTTTCCCATAGACCAGAAGTGATTCCATGTTCTGCTGTTAGTGTCTTTCCTTCTCTTATCCTGGGTATAAAATAGAAAATGCAAAAAGATACTGTTCACAATTCACAAGACCGCATCTTTTTCATTAATGTTCTCAAGGTGTAGAGTTTTTAGTAATATAGAAGAGACATGCAAATGAAGAGGACAGATGTTTTGAAGAACTTGATGTTTGGAACTATTAGAGGGTTGAGCTGAGAGTAGATACTGTGTGCCCTCTAAGCTCTGATGTGTACATAAAGAAGCAAAGGGCTTTCAGTGGAAGAATTACTAATAACCTCAACTAAATTCCAAAAGGCAGGTCCAACTGCTTCAAGGTAGACAAACAGAAAGATGGCGCAGGAACCATGAGAAGAAAAGACATCCATTCATTCAATCAGACAAAAGTCATACGAGTCAAGAAAAAGTAATGGAATTCTTCAACTTTGATGTGCTAACTTGTCCAGCTGGGGCTTAACCCATATGAGTAGCCCTTTCTCTGTTCTGGGAGAGGGATAGCTCTGAGCAAGCCTTTTATAGAGACTACCGTGGCTGCACACTGCCTTCACAAGAGGAAAGGATGTTGTATCAGAAATAACAATACACTCAAAAGCATGATAGTAAGAGTTACGGGTTCACCACTAGCCACAGACTATCCTAAGAGCTTTAAATATGCCATCTCATTGCATCCTTACCACTTCCTTGCTTGGAAAACCATTCCATTTTGCTTTTGACATAAAAGTAGAGACACAGGACTATATGCTCAACCTTTGAGCTGCACCTGCATAGTTAATACGAGATAGAAAATATCATTTTCTCGGGTTATGTGTCTACTTTCCATCTTTGTATATTTTTGGCATGAATGAAACATACCATTTGAGTTAGGTTGTGTTTGGGGGTCTTCAACCCTCGGTGGAGAGAGCAATGTGTGTTCGGTGACACTAGACACTGGAAGCAAGCATTCAGCCTGTGCTGGCAACTCAGACGTGCTGGCTCTTTGCCAGAAGCACTGCGTCTGTGAGCCCGAGCCGCTGGGCTACAGCCAGCCAGCCTTTGAAATGTTGTCTTTTCTCTAGGCCCATCAATGGCGGTCAGGATTGCCCTGGTGTTAATTTTGAGTACCAGCTTTGTAATACAGAAGAATGCCAAAAGCACTTTGAGGACTTCAGGGCCCAGCAGTGCCAGCAGCGTAACTCTCACTTTGAATACCAGAATACCAAACACCACTGGCTGCCGCATGAACATCCTGACTGTGAGTAGACACCGCTCTTTTTTCCTGCTGTGCTGATGGTCACTTCGTGTTTCGGCTTTGCTGACACCAAGCCCTTGCCCTCTTGAGTCCACGGTGGTAGCATAGGAAGAGGGGTACTTACAGAGGCAAGTCATTCCAGGTTCCCAAGAGTCAGGCTAAAGAGTTTCTTTCTCCTTAGAGGTGGGGATTGTGGCAGACATGGTATCTGGCCAGCAGCCCTGTCACCACCACCATGGGAAATGACAGTGAATCACATGATTCAGGTGAATTCTTCAAGTAAGAAATAACCACAGAAGAGGAAAATAGTTCATTTACAGCTAAGTCAAGAGGAAAACAAACAAACAAAAAAAAGAACCAAACAAACAAAACAAAAACAAGATGGTCATTTGTTAAAAGAAAGACTATGTAACCTTTTTATAAACTAGTTATTAAAAATACTCTTGGAAATTTTCTTCTAATGTTTGAAGTATTCCCATTAAATTCTGGGTTTGATAGGCTCAAACTGAAACTCTGATACTATTTCTGTTAGGTTGATCAATGAATATATACCACTTAATTTTAACTGAGTGCTGTTAGAAAGGAAATGTAAGCATGGATAGGTCAAAGTTGAATTCTTTAGAATAGATGCATTATTTTCTAATTTACTTTAGTGAAGTTACTCGCTTGGATTATCAAATTAAGTAGATCCTACGAAGGACACAGATATCAGCTGGGTGATAGGGCAAGACTAAAGCAGTCAGTGTTTGATGGAGGAAGGTCATTGGCTAATAAAGAAACTGGCTTGGCTCATTTTATTGGTTAGAACATAGGTGGGTAGAGTAAACAGAAGAGAATGCTGAGAGGACTAGGAAGTGAGGTCAGAAGTAATGCAGCTCCTCTCAGAGCCAGACGCCTCAGACAGAGAGGCATGCTCCGCTCTCCCGGGCAGATGCACGCAATGAAGCTCCTCCGACCCAGGATGGACGTAGGCTAGAATCTTCCCGGTAAGCGCACCTTGGGGTGCTTACACAGATGATTAGAAATGGGCTAAATTAATATGTGAGAATTAGCCTAGAAGAGGCTAGATAGAAATGGGTCAAGCAATGTTTAAATGAATACAGTTTGTGTGTTGTTATTTCAGGCATAAGCTAGCCAGGTGGCCGGGGTGCTGGGGACACAGCCCCGCTGCTCATATTTCAACAAGTGTTGAGAATGATACTGAAGTGAAACTGGCTTTGAATCAAAGTTTACTAAAAAGCAAATGTAGGTGACATCAAGGTTTGCCACCATAACCTGTCTGGGGTAGTCTCAGTCTATACTTGACTGATATCCCTATTTTAATAGAACCTCTTATCTCAACAATAGCCCACTTTAGAAGACATAAAATAGCTAATCATTCACATTTAAACAAACATGCATGGTGGTGTCATCTACTCCCCATTTTATTCATCCAGTACTTCATTTGGATTTTCAGGCATCCATATTGCCATGTTTTATCTTAAAAATAAACTGCTAGGCTGGAGAGATGGCTCAGTGGTTAAGAGCATTGCCTGCTCTTCCAAAGGTCCTGAGTTCAATTCCCGGCAACCACATGGTGGCTCACAACCATCTGTAATGAGGTCTGGTGCCCTCTTCTGGCCTGCAGACATACACACAGACAGAATATTGTATACATAACAAATAAATAAATGTTTTAAAAAAAAACTGCTAATATTAATAAGTATGCTGATCAAGCATTTTATTTTATGAAAATAACTAATTTAAGCCTGCCTCTTATGCAGCCAAGAAAAGATGCCACCTTTACTGCCAATCCAAAGAGACTGGGGATGTTGCTTACATGAAGCAGCTGGTGCACGACGGAACGCGCTGTTCCTATAAAGATCCGTACAGCATCTGCGTGCGTGGAGAGTGTGTGGTGAGTCAGGCTGCTGCCTCCCTAGCATCCCACAGTGCCCTGCAGTTCTACCTTTACCATCACTCAGAGGCATGTCTGAAACTGTTTTTGACAGCTTTGTTTGGCTCCCTGCGTAGCACTGGCTGGCCTGGTACTCACTGTGCAGGTTGGCTTCAGACTCAGAGATCTGCCTGTCTCTGCTGCCTGAGTCCTGGGATTCAAAGCATGTACCACCCCACCCAGCTTTCAATTCATTCTTATTTGTATGGTAACATTGCAGTGGCTGTCTTTGAAGCATTCAGAATAATTAGAGAAATCGTGCTTACTTAAAATCAGTCTGGTCACTGCATGAATCAAGATGTAAGAACAGTTTTAATTACATTTGAGATGGCTAGATAAGTTTTCTAAGTAACTAATGCCTCTAGATTGAATTTACAATCTAGAGGAACTGCATTGGTTTTAGTATTTTACTAGTGCCAGCCTACCATTATAAAAGACCTTTGTTTTCATAGAATTTCAACCTGCATATAACCTGCATATATTATTTCATCAGATCCACCCCTATTTCCCTTTTTTTCAGTTCTTCCTCTATCATCCCCACCACATTTCCCTCTCAACTTCATGTGTTCAGTTTTTTCCTTCTCAAACCCTTTACGTGGGAGGTGGTTTGCATATCTTTAATCCCAGCACTCAGGAGACAGAGGTAGGCAGATCTCTGTGAGGTTGAGGCCAACCTGGTCTATAGAGTGAGTTCCAGGGCAAACAGAGCTACACAAAAAAACCCTGTCTTAGAAAAAAAGAAAGGAAAAGGGAAGAAAAGAAGGAATAAATGAAGGAAGGAAAGAGAGAGAGGAAAAGAAAGAAAGATAGAAAGAGAGAAAGAAAGAGAAAGAAACTGACTACATCCTCTTAGTACTGCCTGTGTTCATGGCTACAGTGCTTTTAATGCCACATGGATAGCTCTTCAGGGTGTCCCATTCCCTCCCCTAACAGCCATCAATTGCTAATAGTTCCTGAAATGGGGGTGGAACTTAATGAACCCCACCCCATCCATGTGGAATTTTAGTTGCCTTTGATATTCTGTGGGCCTTGTACATGCAGTCATCATCTCTTTGAGTTTGTTATGTGTGTAGCAGCACTGTCGTGTCTATCAAGTAATATCATACGACCGATATCCTTACTTCTGGCTCTTAGAATATCTCCAGCCATCTTCCACAGTGATGGCTGAGCATTGTCGAGCAGGGTGTGCTATAAATGTCCCATGTTGAGCTGAGCATTCCACAGCTTCTTTTTCTGTGGATGTTGAGCAATTGTAGGGTCTCTGTTTTAATCGCCACCTATTGCAAAAGAAAACTTACCTGATTAGGGCTGAAAGCTGCACTAATCTTCCAGTTATAAAGACAAGAATTTTAGAGATGGTTTAATACCATGTCCATTTAGCAAAACAGTAGTGCTAGGTTCTCCCCTAGGGCTTATGATCTAGCCAGCCATTGAGTTTTGGTGCATTAAGTAATGAGCTCCATCTCATAGAGTGGACTTTACAAACAATCAGAAAGTGGTTGGTTACTCCCATATATTGGTGCCGCTATTGCACCAGTGGGACTATCTTGCAGGGCAAGTCATTATTAGAGTCCACTGTTGGCTAAGATTGTGGAATGCTTTTCTTTCCCAGTAGCATAGAGTTGTGAAAGTTAGCTTACAGGAATGGAGGTTTCATGCCAGCAACAGCTTGATTTCCCAGTATTCTGTGATGTACGTATGCAGTGTCTTCAGCAAAAGGGTCTTCCCACCAAATTCTGAAGAGTAAGAGCAATGGCAACAGCCTGTAATGTTTGGAAAGTAACTCGAAAAGAGGTAACCCATTCCTGACACTTTTTATTTGATAGCCTGTGGTGTCTGAGGGAGGCAAGAATCCCCCCATTATAAAATAATTCTATTTAGGATGTATGTATGTTACATTTTAGTTTAGAATACCATTTTGAATAAAAAAATCTAATTCTAAGTTTATTTAAATGATTAATACAGAAATCTTCCAAATGACTATCTAAACTTACACACTAAATGCTATGCTAGAGCCAAAGTTGTAGGCAACAAAAAAAAAGTTTTCTTGTCTCATTTAGTCTTTTTACAATACAGTTCATTTTTTTCCATATTCAACTGCTACTGTAAATTATTCATATTAACTGGACCAGTGTTCCTAACATCATCCATTTCCTTTTCACCTAGCAGAATACCATACATTGGGAAATTCATAAAACCAGAAAAAGCCCTTGCTAAATGAGGTTAGGTGTTTTGGTCTATGGTTCTGGAGCTGGAAAGCCCAAGCTGTGATGATGGATGGCATCTGTTGGGCATCTTACTGTCTTCCTGTTGTGTCGTCCATGCTAGAAGTTAGGAGGGAAACTGAACAGAGGCAGGCAGGGCAGGACTCTTAGGACACCCCCTCTCTTGATAGCCATCCCATTTCTAGGACCTGAAAAATTATTTCATGGAAGCAGAGTCCTCAGGACCTAATCATGGCAGCTTTTTGTCTATTCCATCTTATTGTTTTGAGATAACATCTTGCTCTATAGCCCAGGCTGCTTCCAAACTTACTGTGAGCCTCCTGCTTCAGCCTTCTCAGTGCTGAGAGCTGAAACAGATGGAAGCCCACACCTGACTTTTATTAGGCCCTACATCTCAACACTTTTGAATTGGGGATTAACTTTCCAACATAAACGGCTTGAGAATAGATATAAATGATAATAATGGAATGTTATTGTCATTATTTTAACTCCTATAGTACTTAGTATTAAATGTATGTCCATTCCCTGCCCATTTTCACATCCAACTTGCAAGCCCAATGGTATGGCAGGTACCACATTTACCTCAAAGTCCTGCCCAGTACAGAAAGCCTTCAGCTTTCACAGTCAACAGTGCTGAACTATTGACTGTGAAAATGTAAACTCAACCCAACCTTCAGGGCCTTGCACAACTTGTTCCTCACAGAGCTTTCACAGTTCTTTGTAGCGTGCAACACCCACCTTCTACCGACTTCCACCTGTGTATAAATATTGATCTCTAAATTTTCATGAATGTAAAATTTCATAACTACTTGAATTTGTTCCAATTCAAAAATGCCTTCTCTGTTCCTTCAAGGCCCTGTGGGTGTGTCTGCTACACTGAAGAGCTTTATTTTGCATCCTAACTCATGTTTAAAAGATAACACTGTTTTACAACTCACCACATTACCGTATGCCTTTATGAACACGTAGAAAGCATTACGCTATTGATTTGTAGAATGAGTCAACTCATTTCTTTGCTTATAGATTTTGCTTGATGACTAGAACAATAATGTTGGGGAAATAAAGCTGGGAAAATGCTTTGTAAGAACAAAGGTATTTATCAACTTATTGTCTAGACTATGATTCACTTTGTTATTTGACTTTACCCTAGCTCTTCAAAAATCTGGGGTCTATGTAATCATAACTACAGTGGCAGTCTGGCGCAAGCTTGCTGGACATGTGCATCACCATGTGGGATGTTGTTTTCTACATGGCACATTGAAGTTCACTGTGTTTAACATCTTTTCTCCCCAGAAAGTGGGCTGCGATAAGGAAATTGGTTCCAACAAGGTTGAGGATAAGTGTGGGGTCTGTGGAGGGGACAATTCCCACTGTCGAACTGTGAAGGGAACATTTACCAGAACACCCAGGAAACTTGGTAAGATGAGTGTTCTCCTGAATTAATACACTTTTGTGCTATTTGACATTTTGAGACATCTTTTAGAATTTCAGGGTTTTTTTTTTTCAAATGAGCATCACAGAAATTAAAAGAGAAGGAAGACTGTATTTAATGTTTTAATAAAAGTTTCATGCTTTGGGGGAAAGCATGTGCTATATGTTACTTGAATTTAACCAATGTGTATAAGACTAATGGATAATTTTGAATGTATGTGGCACATAACTTTTCTGGAAATGTAAAATGTTGTAAAACCTTAACTATAACATTTATTTTTGTCGGAAAAGTGAGCAATTTTATCTTGGTATATTTATGGAGATAGCATCCATATATAGTATAATCTTTAACCAAAACAGAGATAATGTATGAAAAATGCAAAGAAAAAAATAGAGATACAACAAAAACTCTGAGGTATGATTGCTCATGTGTGTAACCTTTGGTGCTCATTATACCATTTAACCTCAAGTTAAACATGTATCAAAGCTCCACAATATGGAATAGAAAACTATTCTGATGCAATAGGTAATATGTAAAAATATTTTAGCTTCATAAATTATATAATTTCTATATAATGCACACAGACATTTATACAGTATAACAAATATTCATATATTTGATGACATTATTGGGGAAACATTTCAGGAAATTTAGCAACTAAAGGTAAATATGAAGTTGGCATGAAGATTCTCTTAAGTCTCTTACGGCATGATCAGAATAATATTTGATGGGCTGTGAGAAGACACAGAGGAATTTGGTTTAAGTCTGAGCATTGCTACACAGGTTCATAGCACTGACTGCTCTTCCAAAGGACCCGGGTTCTGTTCCCAGCACCCACATGGTGGCTCACAGCCTTCTGTAGCTCCAGTCCAGGGGATCCAGTGCCCGCTTCTCACCTGTGTGAGCAGTAGGCATGCAAGTGGTGAGCAGGCTTACATGGAGGCAAAACACTCACACATATAAAATCATAAAATAACTAAATCTTCAAAAAAAGAATTTGGTTTACTTTAGTGATTATAACTAATAGAGAAACATATGAAAAGGTTCTGTTAGCCTTCATCCAAATGGAGTAACCTTCATTGTCCATTTTTATACAAATTACACCCTGGCGAATTCTAGAATCAGATTTGCTCTGTGATGTGCCAGTTTTCAAATATGGTCCCCAGTCCTTCATGTCTTTGCTATTCTTTCATAACGAATTATTAGGGTTTATACTATGAAATTTGAAAGCAAATAATGCTACTTCTGGCTGGCTGTTTGCATTATTTTATCAAAGCAAATGGAATTGAAATACAAATGTTACACTGTGGTTAGACTCACATATAATTCTCTCTGCACTGCCATGAGAGTATTGAATGGGCTTCGCATTCCTGAAGTTAAATTTATTTTTCTGTTTGGGGATGTGGAATCATTGGTTTTATTTTCAGGATGAATTAATGTAAGGAAAACCTTTTCTTGTACTGGGATAGTTCTCTCTGCATTTTGTGCACTAGAAGGACATGCTACTGTTTTTCAGACCACCTCAAAAAGTTAGGCTAAACAAGAGTCAAAGTCAAAAGAACAGGTGAAGGGTCCCCTCGGTCACTCAGCGTTAACGTGGTCAGAGATAATCCAGCCTCGGTTCTTTTCGCCAATGTCCTTCTCGTCATGCACTAGACTAATTAACCTTTTCCAACAGGCAAACACTTAAGCAAGAGATGCCATAAGGAGCTCGAGTTTCTGGAAAATGAAATCTGCAAGTATTCAACTTCAAAATCACCTCCATCATTTTGCATTCATGCTCAGTCTTACTTTCATTGACTATTACTTTCATTGACTATTAACAGTTTATCGGCATTGGCTAACTACTGCAAAATGCATTTTTTTTTACTTGAAAATTTAAAGTTTCAGAACACGTTTTATAACTTACCCAATAAAATCTGTATGGCTCATGGGGTAGTCAATGAAACAGCAAGACTGATAAAACGTGAAACCTCCACTAATTAACGACATTCTATTTAAGGGAAGACGAGAGGCGCGTTCGTTTTACCCAAAGGAGCTCGTAATATTTCTCTTGCTGAAACAAGAGAAACTAAAAATGTACTGGGTAAGTTGTAGTGCGCTGCAGAAAGACGGGCATTCATAAATGACCTCACACTGATGTGCACTCCTGGGCATCTTAAGCATGTTGCTTTTAACTGTTGCTTATTCAGGCAAACAGCCCAGCTCCTGTGTTGAGCAGAACCTTAGGTTAAGGTGCTGAAAACCCTGATCCTAAATGACTACTACATGTATTTAGGACCCAAATAAATATTAGGTAAGAGTTGGGTACATCTACTTATAGAGAAATATTAGCTATACATATATAATTACTGAAGTAATCAGGAAAAATGTTATTTTATATTTCTATCTGGATTTCTTTTGGCACAAATCCTGGATTACATGAACTGGATGTTCCATAACATACTAAAAGTTTAGCTTGCATAATTTCCTATATTTGTTTCTATTTGAGACAGCATCTTCCCATACAGCTAATTTCAAACTCAATATCCTCCTGCCTCAGCTTCACAAATGCAAGGTTCTAGACAGGTATCACCTCACCTGGAGCTGACTCATTTACTGGTACTGGCCATGAGATATAACATATCTGCCTCTCAGTTTGTTCTATTGTTGATTGATATAAGTTTAGGGCTTATGGTAATATTAAGATTTTTCCTATAAGAATGTAAAGTTCCAATAGTCAATTTAAGCCTATTAATTTACTTTTTAGTTATCTAAGGCTAATTTATAATTCATGACTTAGAAGATTGAGGGTAGAGCAGTACATAATACACACTTGCATTCAGTTTTTCTATAAATATTTCTTTAAAGTGGGATTATAAATATTAAAAGCATTTACAATACATGGAAGCTTAGCTATTTGTAGTGCCATAGGTTTTCATAGCAATATTTAGGCAGAAGGGATATCCCAAGGTTACCATGTAAATACTTTTTATTAAAACTACTACTTTTTAAAAGGTAGCCATAAAAACTGGAGTAACACAGGGAGACTCAGGAAATCATCACTGTTTGCCTGAACTGTTGATGCAACTCATAGGCCAACACTAACTGTGAATTTTCCTCATGCAAGATGCTTCAGAGCTGTAGAGGTAGTTTCTGAGATGCACCTTGTAGTTTATGGATGCCCTCTTCTGCACGTGGGAGCCAGAAGGGTGCAGTGCCGGACTAACCATAGTGTCGCCTTTGTTTTCTCTGCTTCCTCCACTTTTCACCGCACATGCAAAGGGTACCTTAAGATGTTTGATATCCCCCCTGGGGCTAGACATGTGTTAGTCCAAGAAGACGAGGCTTCTCCTCATGTTCTTGGTAAGTGTTTTTGTCTGCCAGCGCTGCTTTTCCATGTATATAAACATGAAATGTCAAAGACACTCCACATGGGGATATGCATATGTATGTATGTGCACTCTACATACTATACATGCAAGAATGAGGATTATATATAAATTCACTAGTTGGATAGTACATGAAGTTTAATTATTTCTCCTATTTTTATATTAAAACAAATATTTGAAACTAAAACTTCAGTTTTTGGTAGAAATGGGATTGGTTCATAACTCCTGAGAAAATTTTACAAGTTTGTATTTATTAATCATTCTTTTCTCTGAATTAGGGGACATAAAAAATAACATGTACCATTAAGGAAAGGCAATAGGAAAATTTATCATTTTTAAAATTTTTTAATTTATTTATATTTTATGTATGAGTGCTCTGCACACAAGAAGAGGCCATCAGATCTCATTATTGATGTTTGTGAGCCACCATGTGGTTGCTGGGAATTGAATTCAGGACCTCTGGAAGAGCAGCCAGAGGTCTTAAACCACTGGTCCATCTCTCCAACCACAAATTTATCATTTATATGTTGAAAATGACTGATGGATAGTTTCATATAGATTTTTAATAGTTTTTATAGTTTCATATAGATTTTGAATAGTTTTTATAAATTTCAAATTCTTTGGAACAGCAAAATTCTCCTGTGGCAGATTTACAATGTTAATTTTCCCTAGTACCTGGAAACTGTCTGTTTTTGATTGGCACTTGTGTGGTTGATTATGATTTGTGTGGTTGATTATGATTTCTGTTATTTTTCTCTTATGGGAAAAATAGTACCGAATGCCCGTGGAAGCAGTTTCCAAGCACAGCTCGTGCTGGAGCTTGAGCTCTGTGCCTGTTTCTGCACTGAAAGTTAGGGCAACTCCGGGAAATTTTGTAGCAAATGGTTTTTTATTCACATGTGACATCTTAAGTCTTTTTTGTTGTGGTAATTCAAGAGCTACTTAAATTACATTCCCTGTCAGATGGCATATCATACAAGCCTTTGCTCAGAGTTCTTCCCCTAGTTTTTAAATTTCTTATTGTTCATGCTAGAATTCAGATTATTCTTGGAATAGTTATCTTAAAAGCTTGAGAAATAAATATGCAATAAATGGTTTTAACTAAATTTTTTCAGTGATGTGAGAATTATGAAATGTTTTCTCTCACTTACTGATAGATACCTCCAAACTGTACATTTATTCTATTATTTTTCCCAAGAGAGAAGTATTACACACTGTAACAACAGATCTGTAATGAATTAAGAACTCTATCAATAATAAATATCCTTTTCTAGCAGTAGCAACTTCAGAGTAGTCTGGGAATTTTACTGCCAGCAGAAAAACTATTGGCCTGGAACTCAGTTCAGCTCTTTAGGGTGGCTATCAGTATTTTACCAATCTTGAGAGACAGTTTGTGTTGACAAGGTATCTATTATATCCAGAGTCCCAGCTTCCAAGGAAATATATAGAATGAGAGGGCTAATCTCTTTGACAATGTTTCCAAATGGGAATATTTGCAAACATTATCCCCCCCCCTTTTTTTTTAATCTATTTAACACAGTAGCAATGCTTCTCAATGGTTTACATGCCTAATGAAGGGAGTAAGGAAACTTCTAAGAACTAACGTTCGTTTTGACTGCTTGATACTAATAAGGCAGAGGAGTCACTGGTTTTTCTTAGTAAAAATGGGGGAAATCTGCTGTGGCTCATCCCCACTGCCATGGGATAAATGTGTGCCCTCACTCATTTTCTTTTGTTTAGCTATTAAGAACCAAGCCACGGGTCACTACATTTTAAATGGCAAAGGGGAGGAAGCCAAGTCGCGGACCTTCATAGACCTTGGTGTGGAGTGGGATTACAACATTGAAGATGACATTGAAACTCTCCACACGGATGGGCCCCTACACGACCCCGTTATTGTTCTGGTACGTGCCATGCAACATTGCATATACTTGATAACTTACCTGAAAACATGCTCAGTTAAAATATATGACTGAATATTCTCCTGTTTTTTTTTTGTAATTCTATTTATGTCTCCCTGTTCTGTTTGCAACATTCTCATAACAGTTTAATAAGTCTATTTTACTCAAATAATTTATATTTAGTTGCAAACTTACTATTTTTGATGTCCCCTTTAATGCACGATTCTTTACCTTCTATATGGAGAAATTCCTTTGGCAGTTTTTGTGGTATAAGCGTATTATCAATGAGTTTTCACAGCAGCATTCAAATTGCCGAAATGCCAATATTTCCTCCTCATTCTTGAAAGATACCTAAAAGTATAAAATTAGGGTATTACCAGTTTTGTAATTTTTATTTAGAGATGCCTTTGTATTTACTCACTGTATAAACGTGTTATCTATAATATACAATGAATCTCTAGTACATCGAGAATTCTATATCAGCAGGTTTTCTAACTATAAAAGCAGGTGATGTGGTTTAAGATATAAACCAGAAAATTTTACCAGAATTCTATCAGAAAAGCCAGTGGCATGAAAATCTGTGTTAGTTAACTATTGGTGTTTTTACAATGCTAAATAGATATAAAGAAGTCACTGTGTTATATATATGCTATACTAACAGATTATGTTAACTATTGGAGAATTGTTGCCTGCAGGAACCTAGAGGGACCTGAGGGCTTATCAATGAGAAAGATCTGACTCCCTGCAGTGGATGCACACATGAGCTTATTTTATGGGTGTATGAATATGCAGTCACAGCCCTGAGGAGGGGTCTGCCTGCCTAGGACACTCACTCAGCAGCCCCTTGGGAATCTGCGCTGAGAACTCTTGTGGAAAGTGCAGATTCCTTATAGCCATGGGTCATGTGCAGACGCAGCCAATAGGGGGTGCTGTGACATAATATATACGGAGCAGGCAGCTTCTATGTGATCTTGAACAGAACAGAAAAGGCCTAATAAAGTACACGGAATTATAGAAAGATAAGATGGAAACAAATGAGTGATAATGTTCAAAACTTGTGAGGAAATAATTATCTCCAGAACTTCTGAAAGTTGTGTGTGAAATACATTTAAAACAGTTAGAAATATAAAAACTGTTGAAAGTGTCAGCGCTCCAGCGGAAGGCTCTCCTGGGAAAGTCCGCAACTGAAGGCTTAGTAAAGAGCAGGCGTGTTTTCCTCGTTGCCAGAACCTTTGTCTACTAGACTCCATTATTTATTTTCTCGTTTCTATGAGAACTCTGAATATTGTGCTACTTTTTAAAAGGATTTATACTATATATGAAATTACTGCTTTGTCAATTTTCCACATTATTGTACTATTCTCATAGTCGCCCCTATTACCCATCTTCTCTTCTTTCTACAGCTGGTCCCTTTCTACTCTAGCCTGATTCCTGTTTTCACAGACACACACCTGTTTTGAGACTAAACATGCAGTGTCTGACTCACTTCCTCATCCAAGTACACACCGCCTGTTCCCCTTCCCTCTGGAGGCCTTCCTCCCATCATACTTCCCTCTACTTTCATATTATTCATGCATAAAATAACTTCCTACATGTGAGAAATGAGAAGCACGCGTGCAAGACTTGACTTTCTGAGCCGGGCTTTTTTCACTTAGCATGCTCACCACTTGTATGCATTTTACTGCAGATGCCATAAGTTCATTCTTAACGCCTGGATAAAACACCAATTTCATATAAACCACAGTTTCTTTATATGGTCATCTGTTGATGGGCATCTAAGTTGGTTTCATATTATGAATAATGCTGCTCTAAATATTGATATGCAGGTACCTCGTAGTACGTTCAGATTCCTTCCAGTAGATACACAAGTGCGGTATAGCTGGGTCATATAGTAGCTCAATATGTTTCTGAGAAACCTCCATAGTGGCTGCTCTAGTTTACATGGCAACCAGTGGTATAGAAAGTTCCTCGTTTTCCATATCCTCTTTTATCTTGATGATAGCCATTTTGATATGGATGGATGGACTCCCAATGTAGCCATCTCTTTTCCTGACGGATTCCAGCAGCTCTCTCCCATCCCTAGGCTGTAGCAGATTGGCCAGGTTGCCTGACATGTGATTTCCCATTGTTACCATGCCCAGAATACCTCAGTCTTAAACAGTGGGTTCCCACTCAAGATGATTCCGTGAGTTGGGAAATGAACTGCTTTTCCATAGGTGACCTTTCACACTGTGGAGTCCCTTTAGCACCACGAACCCTGGTTAGGACCTTGGGCTTGACTCTTTATGCCAGGACACTCAAGTTTAGCTTCTGGATCTTTTCCTAACTCTCCTTCCTTGCCAGGGAGCTGTGGCTAGAGCTGTTGCCTCTGTTCCTTTGTGATTCTGACTCTCCTCATTCACCCCAACAGAGGGAGCTTTGAGTTTGTCATATTACCAGGGAAATGAAAGATTTTCTCATTATGTTCACTGTTGGGCAGTTTTACTATGGTGTACTCAGTGAGATTTGTACTGCTCATACTTGGGGTTCACTCTGTAAGTAGTAAAATGTTTCATATCACATTTGAGCAAATTTCCCATTATATCTTTAAGACCTCTCTATCTGTTCATGGGATTCATTTTCAAACCACTTTAATATTTTATAATATTTGAAATATGAATAATTATCCCTGGGCTGTTTAAAGTCTGACTCTCCAATCTAACCTGTATCCTGTCCAGTATTTTCTTCATGTCAACTGGTGTACTTTCGTTGCTAATATTTCCATGTGGTGGTATTTCGCTTGGTTTTGTGTCTCCTTATATGTTTGCTCGGTATATCCAACATGCCCTTTAAATTCTAGACCTCCAAGCTGCCTGCTTCTGCTGGAAGCTTCTATTTCCTCCCTGATGGGTCACAGTCCCCTGCTTCAGTTTTCTTTACTTTACATAAGACACTTGTGTGAATGGTTCCTTGGCTTTGGTCCAGAGGCAGTTAAGTCCCAAAGCATTTGAAGGCTCTTGTTCCTCTTCACTAGGACTGGTCTGTTTCTACTCAACCTTATGCTCACAACATGAATCTCTTAAGTGGTACTGAGCCCTCTTCACTCTGCTAGAAAACTCCCTGATTCCCAGCCCTAGCTTTTTGAGAGCACATGGCATCTCCAACTGACAATGCACAGAGCAGCCTCTGGTCAGGACCCGAAAGCTGTTTAACTGTCCTTTCATGCAGCTCTCTCCTCTTCGGGCCCTGCAAGTTCCAACCTCTGACCTCGGTATGATCAACAGAGCATTGCTGGAAGTCTTGACTCAACCTCAACATCTGGGCAAAGGTCTAGATTCCAGTCCCTGTCAGGACATAAGCATGCCCTTTGCTTTCCGAGAACACTGTCATCTGCCATGGTGTCCAGCACATTCCAGCAGAAACGGTCTCTCGAGTTTTGTGTCGGGAGGGAACTTGATGGCTCTCATGGCAGAGCGCAGAAAGGATCCACTTGTTTTGAGATGTGTTGCTGGATGCCTTTCTGAATCAAATTTCTAAGTTTCTATTATACTAAATCAAATTTCTCCACTTGGTTTTTGTTTTCTCCCTTATGGATATTGTTGATTGAGATGTCCTTTAGATCTACCGCCTACTCTTTTTTTTTTTTTGAGCTGCATTCTTTATTTATTAAAGATTTCTGTCTCTTCCCCACAGCTGCCTCCCATTTCCCTCCCCCTCCCCCAATCAAGTCCCCCTCCCTTGTCAGCCCCAAGAGCAATCAGGGTTCCCTGCCCTGTGGGAAGTCCAAGGACCACCTACCGTCTACTCTTAGTCTTGAATTTAAGAGTACATTTTGTATTTCATAGGACTTGTTAAGGTCACTTGATTAGAAATGTTTCCCAGGACCCAACTGTTTTCCTCTGCTCAGCTTTACTCAAGCTGTACTCATAAGGGTTGTGCTTTTCTAATGGATTAATATCTAGGTGTTATGGAAGAATGTTTTGCTCAGTATAACATTTCTCTTATTTTCAAAAGGTTTCATTTAGTTTATATGAATCATTTGTAATCAATTTCATATATGTTTGAGCCTACTTGTCAATATTAGTTATCTGTTACTACATGACAAATTCCCTGAAACACAGTAAGTAGGTAACAAAATCATATCCTATTGTGTCTATGGATGATGTAGCTGAAGCTGGTCACATGACCACATGTGATAGAGTGACTATCATGAGGTAGCTGGTGGCGGTACTACCGCCACCTTGCAGCTTGTCTGGTAGGGCTGCTCTTACTCTCTGGCCCAGGCTGCAGTGGTTGAAAGGCCTCGGTATACGATGCCAAGCTAGTGGAGCAGCCGCTGGCAGGCCTTCTTCCCTCCCCACCTGAGCCTCCCCAGAAGCTGACTAAATGTTCATAGTACCTGGCATGGAATTCCCCAGGAGTGAGTGAGAAAACTGAGTCAGTGAAACCAAGGCAGAAGTCACAAACTGTTAATACTCAGCCTTGGACATGTTGAAACTATGACAATGACCTAAAGAAAAAAAATGTACTGATTTTAAAAGGCGGAGAGAATGCCTAACAATCATACGATTAATGGACAATGGGCCAAGACAAGCAAATCCTAAACTCAGGAAATCTATACTTACAGTGGTCTTTTTCTCAGCCAGTTAGTAGAAGAAATATTCTATGTCGTGATAAATGGAATAGTCAAAAGCTAAAAGGCCCAGACTAATAAGTTACTTTGGTGTTCTCTTATTCTATAGAATTATATATAGATGGTTTTTATTTTCTATGTATTTTTCCAAAAATGTTTCTCCCCTAGGGGGAACATGGTCATTATAATAAAGCATTTTTATTATAAAGAACTTTAAAATACACTAAAGAGATGGTTTAATTTAAGGTGACCTATAGAAAATAAGTTTTTTATAGTATCAACCTTTACTCCTCGACATATTTTATATTATGATATTCAATGGTTTTGCCTAACATTGCAGACTACCACTTGACTCGATGGACACAAAAACATTCTAAGAACTACCCTAAACATTTGCCAGTTTTCAAAATATCAGTATCCTGAAATGCTTAAGTTCAGTCTCTAGTTGCTTATATATTAACTGCATCTCTCCCCCATGTCTGTATTAGATCATACCTCAGGAGAATGACACACGCTCTAGCCTGACATATAAGTACATTATCCATGAAGATTCTGTACCGACCATCAACAGCAACAATGTCATCCAGGAGGAGCTGGATACCTTTGAGTGGGCGCTGAAGAGCTGGTCTCAGTGCTCCAAACCCTGTGGTGGAGGTAACAACCGCATACACTTTTAGAACAGTTTATCACCGTATATTGGTATATCTAATAATGTGTTTAGTTATGGTGCTTCATACACACACATATATCGTGCATTTTGATCCCACACACACATAGCAAACACAGATGCACACAGCCTCTCTGTCACTTTTCCTCATCCCATCTTATTCTCCTACTTTCATGTCTTTTTTTTATTTTTCGCATATAACCAGTAAATTTAATGTCAATAGGTATGTAAATCATAAAATAGCCAGTCCTGCTTACTCTAATTAGAAGCTGCAGTTGGAGAAATCCCAAAACAACCAAACTCTAAATACGAAGTTGTTAGTTATTTCTCGGACTTTGCGAAGGAAGTGATTAAAACAATAGCAGACCAACCATAACATCCCCCTGCTCTTTTCTCTAGGGTCCTTTAGGTCTTGTGTTCAACACAGTAATGCCTTAATCGCTTTTCCCAAAATCTGAAACTGCCCTCAGTCCAGTTTATGCTGGCTGTTGCCTGTCTTCTCCCTTTCACTCCCCGTGTGAATGCATGCCTTTTCTGCTTGAGCAGTGAATCCCATCTAACTATACATCTAACCATGCTGTGTTTTAGAGGCTAGCTACCACACTGAAAGCTTCGTATATCCTCGTGTCAATATTCCCAATGGCTCTGTGATGTCAGTATTATATTTATCTCTATTATAGGAGGGCTCGCTTGTTGGTTCCTGGCCATGTAGCCCCAAAATAATCACACAGAAGCTGTATTAATTAAATCACTGCTTGGCCCATTAGCTCTAGCTTCTTATTGGCTATTTTTTACGTATTAACTTAAGCCATCTCCATTAATCTGTGTATCGCCATGTGGCTGTGACTTACTGGATAAAGTTCCTAGCATCCATCTCCAGCAGCTCCAGGCATCTCTCTGACTCCACCTTCCTCCTCCCATCATATAGGTTAGCTTTACCCACCTAGTTCTATTCTTCCCTGCCGTAGGCTCAAAGCAGTTCTTTATTCATTAACCAATAAAAACAACACACAGACAATAGAACCTCCCTCACCATATCTCTATTACACTGATGGTGAAATTGAAACACGGACAGTAAGTGATTTTCCAATAACATAGGAAGACCAGGTTGGCTGACCAGCATACTGCCTTGCTACATGCCAGGGCTTCTCTCGTTTCCCCAGAACAGATCCAGGAGATGGACCGCATTTTCACCAGTTCCTCCCATTATCTATTTGTCTAGCTCTACATAACAAATACTCTGGTATTATGCAGGCAATGGCAGAATTGTTACAGTAACCACTATATAAATACTGGATAATGAAGAGAAAAATATCCATGGTATGTAACTCTAGATAAATCAGTTTTTAATTAAAACTCCAGACTGTATTTCTACAGTGTTTCTGGAAAGGACCTTTTATGAATGTCACTTCTTGCATCATTGCAAGATAGATGCTGATTTGATTTTGAATTTGCCTTCTTGGTGTGCCCGACATCTACATGGTCCTCAAGGTTATCGGTGCCATTTTAATATGCATGGCATTTGTCTTACTTCACCAGGCTTCCTTCACTGTTTCGGAAGAGAAGATTATTGCGATTCCCCTACTCACTTTGATTTTCTTCTCTATTTACATGATAACGTTTTTAAGTTAATGAATAGGTAGAGTTATATTGTTCTTCCAATTAAAATCCTTCAGTTGGCTGACAAGTAGCCCTGAAGACATGAAGCTATTCAAGTAGTGTTCTTGCAGAACGTTAATAAGCTGAGCTTCATCATTAGGGACCATTAAACAAAGCCTATTGTAATGGCATTGTACAAAAACAGCTGGCATATATGTTTCAAGAATAGTAAATGCCATAAAGATGGAGTCTGGGCAATTATTTCTGCTCGTGGAAGCTGCAGAGACTTGGAAGTTAAATGAAGTATGTGATCCCTGACTGGAAAAGCCTCCTTGGAAAGGAACATGACAAGGATAATGGCAGGTTTAGAATATTGTCTACATATTATATTTTAAAAATTATTTTTGTAGTAATGTGAACAGATTAGGAATGAAGGATCCAGAGGTCTGCAACTTGGAAAAAATGCACATGTGGCAAACTATGATTTGGATAATAAATGTGATGCTTAATCTTTGTACTAATAACCATTTGGCTTCCTTACAACCTTTTAGAGAGGTTTCAAAGTTTTCAACTTGTAGAAGGTTTCTGTTGTCTCTGGGCTTGTTTGTTTCATAAATATCAAAATAATGAATGCTGGGAGACCTTCTTTGGCCAACCACTCCCTATGACCTTCAAGCCCAAATGCTGTCTGGGCTCATGGCTTTGCAGATCTGATGCTGTCTTACCTCCTTCCTCTTCACACACAGCATGTTCTCCAACCCCCACCTTTCACCCCCAGAAACACCTAACCTGTCCCACGTTCTTCCCTGCATGTGACACGGACGGCGTGTCATCCCCTTTATCCAACACAGTTTGAGCCGCATTGTTCTGCTCAAAGAGGCGTTGGTCTGGAAGACTTCCCATCAGCTAAGCTCATGGCTCCTTCCATGTGTTGCTTTCTGCCCCTGCAGAAGGGTCATCACTGAGCTGTGTAAAGGCCTACACTCAGCTTTGGTCCCCACAGTGCTTTTCCTACCCATCCCTCACGCTACACTCTGAATGTTCTATCTCCACTCATAAGTACACAGGTGCTGCTTCAAACGTTTTAGTATTTACTAAAGGTTACGTTCCGAGAAAATGGGCTTTTTCATTTCAAATTCATTTTCATTCTCTCTTAAATGACAACACTTGCAGTCCCTGGCCCAGTGTGTGCACTCAGATACTTTCTAAAGGGATGTATGAATCAATATATAAAGGCATGGCATTAGTAAGTAGCTAAACAAAACTTACTTTCTCTCCCAGGTTTCCAGTATACAAAGTACGGATGCCGAAGGAAAAGCGACAATAAAATGGTGCATCGCAGCTTCTGTGAGGTCAATAAGAAGCCCAAGCCCATCCGACGGATGTGCAACATTCAGGAGTGCACACACCCACTGTAAGCACTCAGTCACGTGACCCTGCTGCCACAGCTGGAAGGGGAATGTCCTGGGAGTTTCAATTCATTCAAAACTCTTACATTTACCTGTTCAAGTAGTCAGTCTTATCACAAGGAGTGTATAAAGCTGCGGTCCCTTGCCTTTACCTATGTTCCTTCTCATGAAATGCAAATATATCTTCAGCTATTTAATTTCTTTTGATAGCTGATAACTAGTTGTTTTCATCTAAGTTTTACCTTCTACCTAATGCCTTTTGGGGGGAATTACAGGTTATATATTAAATACTGAGTTTCTTCTAAAGATTTACCTTCTTTGACAGCCTTTCCAGACCACACTTAATTTTTTCTTTCTTGGTTCTAACAATATGGACTTATTTTACTGATAGTGATATCTGGGGCTGATTGTCACATATATTTAAACAGGTGGGTCGTATTGCAAAATCAGAAAGTAGCTTCCTTTCTTGTGAAACTGTTTCTGGTCTTGAAAACCATTCACATCTAAATAGTAAGCATTCAGGTACCCTGTTGCCTAGTTACAGAGTTCTGCCTCAGCCTAACTCACATTTACCTTCCTCCTGGAGTCCCCTTTTTTCCTGAGTTAGTGACATCTTGACATCTTATCTCCTGGTTCATTCATCCATTTCAAGAGGTACTAGTTTTTTAGGAACTTAAAAAAACGTATAACAAAAAAAATTAAATAGATTTAAATTTAGAAACTTGGGGAAAGCATCTAAGAGGTTCAAGTATTGCCGTTGCTCTCACCTTTGACCTCTTAGAGACACTCATAAGTATATAATTCTGTTTTCCCCCAGAATCTAAAATCTGTTGCATTGTTGGCTGGACTTTAGTATTGCTGTTGAAAAGTTTGGGGTCATTTTGACTCTCAATGCTAAAGGACATATTTTTGCTTATCCTTCTAAGTTCTTAGAACCTTGTTCTCAGCAGAAGGAAATTTCCCAATGATGAAAGGGACCAGCAGGAACATCTTTTTTATTGTACTGTGTAGTTGTGGAGTTAATTCCATGGCAAATATCACATTTATGTATATTTTGATAATGTTAAAATCAAGGTAATTAATGCACACTTAGATACTAAGTACTTGGTTTTTCTAAGTGGTGTACACTTGTAAAAGTCATCAGTTTTGAAATACACACCACATATCAATTGTATCTAAGTAGAGAGATGCCTCATGACCATGCTGAAATTACAGCTGACTCTCAGTGTTAAGACACTGACATTGAAATTTGGGAATGTTCCACGGGAAGTAGTTTTGAAAATTACTGAGAAAATTTTATGAAGTATATTCAAGGAGGTACTTTCTATCAAAGCCTGCATGTATGGCCTTTCTCTCAGGCCCATGAAGGTTCAATAATACTGGAAGTTAGAACATTGGAACAGTTAGTTAGTATGCTATTTCATGAATAAGAGTGTAACAGACAAATCCTTTTGTTGTTCAAAAGCAAAGAGTTGGGTCAGAAAATCATTTCCCTATAAGGTGCATTCGTTCAGAAGACGGGAGGTCCTAGGCATTGCCCCGTGGAGATGCTCAGTGTACCTCACTGCTCCCTCTTGCTCCCACAGCTGGGCAGCAGAGGAATGGGAACACTGCAGCAAAAGCTGCGGCAGCTCAGGCTACCAACTGCGCACTGTGCGCTGCCTGCAGCCACTCCACGATGGTACCAACCGCTCTGTGCACAGCAAGTACTGCTTGGGGGAGCGTCCTGAGAACCGCCGGCCCTGTAACAGAGTCCCCTGCCCTGCCCAGTGGAAAACAGGGCCCTGGAATGAGGTGAGTCACCTGTTAGTATGTAGTGTGTGAATAGAGAAACCACCAACCATGTTAGAGGGGCTAGGAAAAATTAATAATTTAAGACAGTATTAGCAGTTAAGAATGGGTGGCAGGAACAAACCATGTTTAGGTATTTTGTGACATGGATGCATCTGAGAGGCCCCTGAATCGTCTGAGGTCATCGCTGACTTCTCTTTTTTCTACAGAAGGTCCAATCCACTACAAAACCCAAGGCCCTGCTACATTAGTAACCCCTCCCCCCAATCTTCTTTCTAGCTGATAAAGTAAATTTTCTATTTCCCAAATCATGCCGTTCAAGCTTTCTCTTTTCATGGACTTGTTCTTCCCTGTCTCTGGTCCAGCAGCATCCCCATCCCTCATCACCGCCATCCAAACACCTCCCTGTCTGTGGTCCCTTCTGGCAGGTCCTCCTCTGACTCTCAAGGACCAGATTAGCTCTAGACTGCTGCTCAGGAAAGAGCATTGTGAGTCCTGTCTTAGTCTGTTCTTGCCCACAATCCAGTGACAATGTGTCTTGCTTCCCCAGCATGTAGCTGTAGCCTGGGGTCAAATGGTATTTGAATATTTTTAAGGAGTCAAAATAAGACTTATAAAAAGATGGAGCATCAAAAAGCAGGCACGGGAGAAGTGGCGATCATGCCCAACAAGTGAAGCCCGGGCAAGGACCAGTCATCCATGCTTAATAAGATGAACAAGTATTGCCGTTCCCCTTAGAGACCCAGAACTAAGCTTCTCCCAGCACTGTCTAACTCAACAGTACAGAAGTTTCTCAGCTTTGTTTGGGAATAATTTTCAGTAAATTCTGCTCTCTTTAAGAAAAATAAAGGAGTTGAAGCTTTATAGTAGGACCTGGCAAGGGAGCCAATGTATGAACCCAAGGTTATCTGCCTTAGGACCTTTGTGCAGCACCTCTGTTGGAGGAGGCTGCTTGTCCATAGAGATGGAACTCGAGAGTTGCCGTGTGTGTGTGTGTGTGTGTGTGTGTGTGTGTGTGTGTGTGTGTGTGTGNGGAGAGAGAGAGAGAGAGAGAGAGAGAGAGAGAGAGAGAGAGAGAGAGAGAGAGAGAGAGAGATCCCTGTGAGCATGCATCCCTGGTCTCGGCAGAACCGATGTCTATAATCTCAGCCTTTGTCTCTGCAGTGCTCAGTGACCTGTGGAGAAGGAACAGAGGTGAGACAGGTTCTCTGTAGGGCTGGAGACCACTGTGATGGTGAAAAGCCCGAGTCCGTCAGGCCCTGCCAGCTGCCTCCATGTAATGGTGAGTGAGTTGCTAATCAGCCTTACCATTATGATGCTGCCGAACCTTAGGAAGCAGAGTTTCCTTTTAGGGTAATGTCTGGACTTTCCATTTGTTTATCAAGAAATAATCAACAGAAACACTTTTTGAAATATCACCTTTGGTGATAGTGGGTATGACTGAGTCAGATATATGCGTCTCCTTTCAATGTTGGTTTCTGTTGAGGATAACTTATTTTTATCTATTCCTTTCCTTTATAATGATGTGGAATATGGTTAGAATTATTACAGCAGGCTTTGAGATACTTTGCTAAAATTATTTGGATATAGAACTCAAACCTAATGACCTATCTAATAATTGCTTCTCCATGTAAAGGGTGGCTCCAAAATAGACCTCATGTACCTATGCTAAAATCAAGCACTTGCCTGAGTGACCAACTAGTTGTGTTTTAAAGTGAAATATATTTACTTGTTCTGTTTTGTGGTCGTGGGTAGAGGTACTGTAAAATCAGTGTGCTGAGGAGACCGCTTAACTGTGGTAGGTAGCGTACCCCTGTTCCTTTACAGAGCTTACTTCCTGAGTTCTAGGTCTAAAGCCAAGTTTGAGGTTTCTATGTTATTTCAGTCAAACAGGTAAGGAGCATCCTCAGGCTCAATCTACGGTCTCAAATCTGATGACTTTCAGGGTCTGATATAAATAAATCTCTTTGCCTAGAGTTCTTAGCACTGGACAGTGGTGTGAGCAGACTGGAAAACTTCCTTAATGATTGATTTTGTTGTCTGATTATATTTGGTTATAATTCTCATTTGCCTTTAAGGCCTTCCTGTCTATGCCTAGAAAAACTTGTTAGTCCTCAGTATTTTCCCCTCATCCATATAGAAGCATATTCTGGCCCTATTCTGGCCCTAATGAGACTTGGGCTATCAGTCATGCTCCCTTCAAGATGAGTCTCTCATCTGAGGCTTCTCTAATGCGCAGAGGATGGTTCTGGGTGCTCCCCCGAATCAGCAGCAGGCTAACGGGGTTAGTATGATGGAGAAAGAATAGAAATGTCGACAGCCTTAGTCACAAGGTCCAAAGCAGTTTGTTTGTTTTAGATAGGCATACAGAAAAGACAGTTCACAAGTAAAGAGTTGATATTAGTGACTGAGGATTTGTGTGATTTTTTTTAATAACATTGCCTAGCTTTTGACCTCAGCAAGTGTCAAGTATTCAAATTCCAAATAACACAGTAGGTCTGTAGATGTCTTGACTGTATGATTCATTCTACAATTTGGGATGTGGGCGTGGAATGGCACATGAAATGGGGAGCTTAGCCTACAGCTGGTATCATTGACTGACCCTCTAAAAAAACAACCACCACAAGGGCCATCTCAGTGTTGGAGTTACGTGGCAGATTCCTTACCTTGAAGTATATTCTTATATATATTGTATGTGTATATATATATATATATATTATAATAGAATATGCTGTGATTTTTGAGTGATGATCGTGCCATAATTCTTTGCTTTTTAAATGGGTACAGGGACACATTTGTGTCTACAAACATCCTGGTTCTAATCTATAAACATAAAATGCTGTCAACTCTATGAAATTAAATATAAACACATGACTTAGAATAAAGTTGGCACATTTTATAGAAATGGTCATTTTTCCCCCTTTGGTAAAACTTTTTAAAGGCATAATCAGTTACACTAGGGGTTACACTAGGGGTGTTTAATATTTACTTTAATTGTGAATTTAAAATTATTGCAGAAGAAACTTATTAGGGAGGCAAATTTCAACTACAACTAAAAATGATGTTCCTGTTATCTTCAGAATGAACCCAGTTTTCTCCTTCTACAATCACAGACATGTCTCAATTCCATCTTGAAGACAAAATTCCCCTTAGCACTCTAGGAGATAGTACAATAATAATCATGCCAAGTGCTTGGTGGACACAGGGTGCCTTATCAGCCAGGTGTAGTGGGACATGCTTATAATCACAACCCTGAGGGCTAACCTGGGCGATGCCGTGAGGTCCTGCCTTATAAAAAGTGTGAATAAAATGAAACTAATTATAGTGAATCAATCATATTGTTTATATTTTTCTCCACTCCCCTTTCTTCCTCCCCCATGATCCCCACACTCCCAATTTACTCAGGAGATCTTGTCTTTTTCTACTTCCCATGTAGATTAGATCTATATAAGTCCCTTAGGGTCCTCAGCTTGTGTGTTGATTTCAAATATCACTGGAATCTCTAGTTTTCAAATAATTGTCATTTCTTTCAACCTTGTATATTTAAGCATGTGGAAATTTTCCTTTCTCTTTTGCAGATGAGCCATGCTTGGGCGACAAGTCCATATTCTGCCAAATGGAGGTGCTAGCACGATACTGCTCCATACCAGGCTATAACAAGTTGTGCTGTGAGTCATGTAGCAAGCGCAGTGGTACCCTGCCGCCACCGTACCTTCAAGAAGCTGCTGAAATCCACAGTGATGCTATCTTTGGTCCTAGTGACCTTCCAAGGTCTCTAGTGATGCCTACACCCTTCCTCCCTTACTACTCAGGGACCCGTGCCGAGAAGAAATCCTTGAGTAGCATCTCTTCCCTGGCAAACCCAAATGCTGATGCTGCATTCAGAGCCAGCAGCCAGCCTAGTGCTAACTTCCCCCAGAAGAAAACACAGCAGGCTGGAAGAAAGACACTGGTCTCAGTACCACCCTCCTCATCCATGAAAACTGGTGGCTTCCATTCTGCCTCGTCCGTGGCTGCTGCCCCCTCCCCTGCTATCGGTGATTCAATAGGTGCTTCTACCCAGACAAGAACCCCAAAGAAAGATGGAAAGAATATTAGCAAGAGACATCCAGTCAGGTCAGCCACCTCAGAGAGCTGAGATCAAAGGGAAACCTGAGCAGCCTCCCTCCTTGCATGGTGCATACAGCTTGTTTAAATAAAAGCAGGACCCTCCACACAAGGTTTACTCTCATCCTCAGCAAATGGAAGGACAGGAAGTGCTGGCTCACTTTTTAGTTGCTTCCATCCATCTCCTGTTCCATATCCACTTGTTTACCAGAATCCATTGGGGAAAACAAAAGCACCAAAGACTGTTTTCAGAAAGAAAGAGCCCAGCTGCAGTGGCACCTGCCTAGAATCCCAGCATTTGGGAAACTAAGGCAGAAGGACAGCTGCCAGTTCTGGACCAGCCTGGAACGCTTCTCTCAAACACAGAAAAGGGATGGAACATGGTTAAACGTGTTGGCTGTTTTCTAAGGAAGAAAAGAACCCGCCGCCGATTGTGCATATCAGCTGATTTTTGTTTGTTTTTAAAAAGTCACAGTAAAAAAATCATACAAACAGAGGCCAATGGTTTACGCGTCAAAAAAATTTTGGAACCAATTCTTAGACTTGCATTCCTATTTATCTATATTAGAAATACTGTATGAGCAAATTTGCAACTGTTGTGTAAATACTGTACATTGCAGAAATCAGTATTATTTTAAAAAAGATGTTCTCCAACGATGGTTTACTATCTTACATTTCTGGAAGTTCTAGGGTGCCTGTCATTGAGTATTGCCTTATGAGACATTCCATGAGTTGATTTCAAAGCAGAATATTATGAAGAAATTGGGATCGCAGCTACTGACCATATCAAGAGGGCTGGCCATGTGTTGTCTGTTGACACTGCCGGTGTACAGGTGCCTCACTACATCTACTGCCTTCCATCCTTACCACAAAAGGAGCAGGCCTGGCATCTTCATGTGTCTATGCGCACACCGTGCAGTGGATGAGCTTGTATAAGACAAACCCCAGCCTTCTTGCCATCATATCAAAGGGCGTCTTTGCGACAGTGCGCACCTCAGCGATGTCCTGTTCTTGTGCTAACGGTTGTACTTGATAATCACAAAGGTGTTGTGTGCATTTTCTCCCAGCTGAGAAGTGGCACCAGGCTAGAACTGACACTTGAGTACATTAGTGCGTTGAAAGCAGGCTCAAGGAAGTTGTCTTTGTCATGGTTGCGATATTTATTTTTCTGCATGGTTCATAGCTAAATGTTCACGGCCATGGTGCATCTGACTGCAGTGCCATGCTGGTGGTTCTCTCAGAGACCAACATGCTCAACAATACCAGAAATGCTTTCTCCCGGGAGTGGATGTACAATAGTTGTATATAGGATACAGATCTGAAGATATTTATTTTAAGAGTTGATTTTTTTCTTGATAGTCTTTTTATGTCTTTAATATTTACACTAATATCAATGACATTTTAGTAAACTAGAGAGACATAATTAGAGGTGTGTGCTGCGTTCCATGCAGAAAGGACAAATTTAAACCAAGCACACAACCAACTCAAAGAACTAAAATTGAACAGATCCTTACTTAATTGGCAGTACTTGATCGAACCCAGGGCCTCAGAGATGCTGAGCAAGCACTCCATCACTGTGCTGTATCCCTAGCCTTTTTATTCTCAGTCTAAATATTCCTAAGTTACCTGGGCAGGCCTTGAACTTGTGACCCAGCTGCTACCACCATTCAAGAAGCCAGGACCACAGGCATTTCTTGTGTTTGATATTTGCATTTTTTTAAGGAGCTGATGCAGAGTTGGTCATTTGTTCCCCTTCAAGGACACATAAAACCATCAGGAATTCAGCTAGCTGTTTAATGGACTATTGCATTAGAAACGTGTTCCAAAGCCAGGTGCACGCACACGTCATCCCAGCATTTAGAAGTTGAGGCAGGAGGCTTTCTGTGAGTGTGCAGCCAGCCTGGTCTATGTAGCAAGATCATGTCTCAAACAAAACCTATTTTAAATATAGGCACTTCCTAAAGTGTGCTTAAAGACAAAAAGTGTTAGGAGCATGCTTTTGAAGTCATTTTCGAAACAGGTCTAGAGATTCACAGACTGAAGTTGAGATGCATTATCCCTTGAAAGCACAACCTGAGCGAGGCGCTTTGACTAGTAGCCATTATATAAATGAACAGTCTAAGCTATGACTCGATACCTCGAAAGAATTGCTGCTACTCCGTGCAAGAATTTTTAATTGTCAAGTTAGGTGACTTCCTGAGCGTTAACAATCCTTGAGCCTTACAAAAGATCTCTCTTTCTTGAAAACTTCACTAGGACAAAATTCTCTTTAGTTTACTTGGGTGTACACACATCCGGTCCACAGGGAATCCGAAGACGGTCACACACATACACCTCCCATAAGATGTACATATTCCTTCCACTTTTTAACCTATATGCTTTCTTTTCTACTAAGCTGAAAGTTCCTTTTTATCAAGGTGTACACTACTGATGCTGTTTGTTGTATTGGGAACACATAGCAATAAAAACGTGAACGAGGAGGTGTGGCCTGACCTTGATTTCCTTGCTGGTTGCCCTGGTGCTTTTCCTCCTGCCAAGTGAGACAGTGACTACACTCTGAGGATACAGGAGAGTGTCTCTCATTTCCACGTTGGGATAAACCACAGCTTTAGAGATGATAAGAAGCTGTGGGGAGTGGATAAGCCGAATGCTATCCCGGGGGACTATGTGAGAGAACAGTAAGATTGATGGTTTGGGGGAAGAGAGGGGAGGTTTTATAATGTGAACTCTCAGGGTAGATTCAATGCCCAGTAGCCTTGGACCATCATTGAGAGTGGGACAGGATATCCCTCTGGACTCAGGACAGCAAGGAGGAACAGAACACCACAGTGAGTGGGTGGTCTTCTGTCACGTTAAAGAGGGGACACCGGGATACCCATGCCAGTTTGAAGCTCTGCCTGCCACCTCACACCCGAGTTTCAGTTTCTTCAGCAATGATCTAGACAGCCGCACTCTGACGTTACAATGAAATAGCACTGTAGTCAGCACATGGCCTAACACACAGGGTCTCCTAACATAGACCACACCGTCATCCACACAGTCCTGCCAGCGTCCTTACACAGCTGAAACACACCTTTTCTCTAGTGCCTGTCTCCTTTGGAGTCAGAATTACCCAGTCTCACTTCAGGTAAACAAGATGGCATGGGAAACCTAAAGGCAAACAGCTTTAGAAGTTCATGTAACGAGCGCGGGTAAAATGCTCTGGGGTCACTGATTTCGCAGATTTTGAGCTTCTCTCCATTTGCCCTTTCCGAACACTGGTCCAACCTGGCAGCCACACTCTCAGCGTGTGTTCCTGACACATTTATTTCATCAAGGTAGTTTGCAGGTCGCCACAAAAATCAGTCTTCTGGACACACTATGTTTTCTTTATGAAGAAGTTTTTAAAACGTAAGCTATATAAGAAAAAAATCAATATAAGAACTCTAAGGATGGGATATGCCAGAGCGTATTACCTGCTAAAGAAGTATTAAAAGGCATGACTGAATCCACTTACAGTCACGGAAAATATAAAACCCCAGCAGTGTGCACAGGTCGAAACCATTCGCTTTGGTCCCAGAAGCTTTGAGATGACTCAGCCGGAGCTGAAGATGAACTTTAACAGCTCACTGCAATATTGTCTATGATCCCATGACAACATAATTCACTAAAATGAACTTGAGGCCCCTAGACTCTCAGAACAAAAATGCTACAGTTTTTGTGATCTTATCAGGCAGTTTACCTAGGAATCGCTTCAGAGAGCATCAGCTAGCATTGTATTAAAACTGTTGCATTAAAGCCAGTTGGTTGTAGTGCACGCCTTTAACCCCAGCATCTGGGAGGCAGAGGTAGGTGGATCTCTGTGAGTTCTAGCCCAGCCTGGTCTAGGAGTGAGTTCCAGCACAGCCAGGCCTTCCACAGAGAAACTGTGTCTCAAAAAAAAAAAAAAAAAAACTGTTTTGAAACTTTATTTTCCAGTCAGTTCAGTTTCAGACAGAAGCACCCCTCCCCAAGTTCAAAGGATCCAGTTTTACAGTCACTGCTAAATATCAGACGTGCTAATGTAACATGTAGGTCCACACAGAACATTTCTTAGATATCCCTACTAGGAGAACGCATGGAAAAATGCTCGAAGTAGTTCAAGTGGGGGGAATTCTCTGTGGTGGAAGATAAAGGTACACGTACATCTGTTCTCCATTGCTTTGGCAAAGAGTTAAGAGCTCTGACCTATGACAATAAATGACGCCCTAGTTAAAGAGTGTTGGGAGTGAAGCCGGCTGACTTTGTTGTCAGCTCTCCGTGACGTGGATGGCTTACTTCATGCACCTGAGCCTCGGTTCTTTTCTCTGTGAAATTTAACATGAAATCATTTAGGCGAAATAAATATTGATAAGTCAGAACAAGTAATGAACAGCATATTTGATAGGCATTAGATTTTTTTAAAAAAATTTAAAACACTAATTTTCTCACAAAATGTCTTTGAGATGATCAAGACTTCAGATGATTTAGTTGATTTTAAAACCAGTTATGACTCCATATTCTATATTTCTTTGATGGAGGTGGGTCTTGTAATAATAAAGAAACTGCCTCGGCCCTCATAGGACAGAAAATTAGGTGGGTGGAGAAAACAGAAGAGAATTCTGGGAGAAAGAAGCTTAGTGAAGGGGTCGCCATGGTTCTCCCGCTCCAGACAGACGCAGGTTAAGATCCTCCCTGGTAAGCCAGCTTGTGGGCTACACAGAATATTAGAAATGGGTTAGAACAATATGTAAGAGCTAGCCAATAAGAAGCTGGACCTAGCCGGGCCAGGCAGTGTTTGAAAGAATACAGTTTCCGTGTAATTATTTCGGGGCATAAGCTAGCCATGTGGGCGGCCGGGTGCCGGGGACGCAGCCCTGCCTCCGCTCCTACTTCAACATTTCTTGTGTGAGGCAGAAGCATGTGCATGTAGACAAATGATAGATTGTGTAGGCGGCAGTTATCATACGGCCTGGAAGACCACTAAAAACATCAAGGTATTTTTGTCTTGCCTGTGCTACATCACATATCAAAACATTGTGCCCAAATTTAATGTCACCAAATCCTTTTCAGGGGTAAGGTTCTTAACTTGACATGCAGAAACGAGGACCTGGCTATTTATATGCCTGGGAAGAACAGTTTACACACTCGATGCTTTGTCTCAAGAAAAACAAAACTCTCTTTCGTGCTTCTCACTGGTCCATAACGTTCAGTTTGTCTATCACAAGTTATCTACCTTTCCCCCACGTTCCTGAGGGACTGCTGTGGGACACACATGCCCCAGAGTTCTGACATGTTCAATCATCTTCTCTGTCTCTTTACTGGACAGGACCTGAGAACACTCAGATGAGGCACACCCCTTTCGCCTCTGCAGATCTGTCTGAGCTATATGGTGTGGGACTTGGGTTTGTTTTGACATCTCAGAGGTGACAGGGTGGGTTAAACGGCAGCACCACGAACTCTGGCAGGATGCATTAGCATCTCTAGCACAGAGCATGGAGTCTGGGTTTTCAGAAGAGATGGGCATCGTGAGACTGCTGGTCTTTGCTCTGGGGTCCAGTGATTGCCAGAAATGTTTAGATGCATTTACTGTCTCCATAAAAGGCTTGAACGCAGAGAGAGTTCTGTATTTGTTTGTTTCCCTCCCATCTTTGTCATCTTGACTTGGATCTTCAGTGTTTTCCTACTACACTCAGTATATTCATGAGCCTATAAGTTAAATCTTTATTTCACATCTTAGGTGAAGGAACTAAGACACAGCCAAGTCTGATCTATTAAAGAGACAAAAAAAAAAAAACTTTGCTTTTGCTCCACCCCTTCATCAGTTCCCTGATCTCTTCCTTTACCTCCAAACTTCCCGAAGTTGGTAGCCTCCTTCCACCCCTTCTGCCCTCACCCTCCCACCCTTTGCCTGTCTTCTGTGCTAAGCCCAGGAAGTTCTAGGAGGCCAATCCCAGGAGCTGCTTCTTAGCCCAAATCCATCTTGAAGTTAAGAGAATTTCCTGGGCTCTGATCCTGTGCTGGGCACGAGTAAAGGTGCTCAAACCCAACAAGGAACAAGACAGTGAAAATTCCCTCCCCCGGCTGTGCTTAGGAGCTCACAGGGGAGGAAGAAGCAAGCACCTTATATGGGCTGACTACTCAGCAGGTTAAAAGGAGTCAGAAAAAGAGCATGGTGTCATGTTAGGGATGATAATGGTAACCTGTGACAATTCTTACAGGGTGACACAATTAGATGTGCAACTTCTGGGGAGGAAGATTCAAGGAGGAGAGAGCTCCTAGTGCAGAGTGTGGAGGTGGAGTAACAGCTGCCCAGTTAATCACAGAACTGAGAAAGAGGTTCTAATGATGGGGGAAGGGGGGCAATTAAGAGTAACATAAGACTCCTGGGTCAGTGTGAAATTTGTCTTTGATTTTTCTGATTTTCTCCACTGCTCTGCATAGCAACGAGCTCGAGGATTTGTCCTCAGACAGCATGAGTTTTTGAAACCTTCTATTCATAAACTATACTGTTTCTCTCCTATTAAGTTCTCTTAGTTCCCTTATCTCTACCATAGAGCTAGCTTAAGTCCAGCTCACTTCTAGAATGGAATCAAATGGGAATAAAATGTGCTGATTCTCCTGAAAATGTGTAAAGGTGCTAAAACAAACGTTTAGAAATCAACCTGGTTTCATTATTATAGCTCATACTTTATATAATTGACGAGTCGGAAGAGACTGTACCACACCCAGGAAAAGCCTCCTCTGACTCCCGTTCTTTTCCTAGTTGCCTTGGCTGGCTCCTCTGTCTCCCATGATTCTTTGCAAGGTTAGTTCTCTTATATTTTTGGTTGTGAGCCTAGCCTTTAACAGCTGAGCCATCCCTCCAGGCCACAAAGTTAGTTCTCTGTCTATGTATATAAGCCTCTAGGTTTATATTAAATAAAAGCATCTACAAGTACCTTCGAGGATTTAGCTCTGTACTTCAGCGACTCTCAAAGTATAGGGTCCATCCTTCCTGGAGACTGGTCCAAACTCCTGTGTTCTTGTTCCTTGTGAGGTTCAGCTTCACAGAGTAGCTATCACCCCCCCCCCCTTGTTCTCGTTTTTTAACTCTAGTGCATATTTGGTCAGATGTCTTGGCCCTTTGTTTTCCCTTTAAAAATCTGTCCTGCATCTGGTCCCCTCTGTTTGTCATCATTGTCGATGCCTAGTTCACCTCAATTTTGGGAAGTCTTGGTACTGACTTGAGTAGTGGAGGTAGCGCAGAAGGGACCTGCAGGTAGTTACAAGTAGGGCAGGTCCTGGTAGAAGCCTAGAGCTTGGGGAAGGTTGGAGGGTTGCCCTACAACAAACAACAAATATCTTTTACACAACCTAGATAAATCTGTCCCTAAAACCTCACCAAAGGTCTGCTTCCTGAAGTCACTGTCCCACCCCAAACTTTTTTGTTCTTTCTCTTACAAGGTTCAAATTCTTCAGCAAGGAGCATAACATACTCTCC